CTAGCAGCAAAATTGTTTCTGCTCTAATTACGGATAAGTCGCTAATTTGGTTATACCAACAAAATTTTATCGCTGTCACGATGAATATGCAATAATGTGGTCTCGTTACGAAAGCAAAAAATTATTTCTGTAAATATTATCCTTCTCCCTGAATAAGCAAATTTCAACTCGGTTGAATTGAATTTTCGAAATTAAAAAATACATGCAAATTTTCGACGCACGCGTAAATGTTAATGAGAGATAAGAGCCGACTTTTCGCGGTTGTGATTATCAGAATAACGCGCGTGTTATGAAGTGCATAATATTTTAGATTGTCAGTTTTGTTGAGGAAATATTCAGAAGCAACGTATCAAGTCTCGCCTCAAAAGTGTGAAGCGTATTGGACACTTCGCGAATAGAAATCAAATCCCCTCGCGATAAATATTAGCATATCACTGCCCATTATGTCGACCGAACTTCGTGAATATGCCGTCCGGCTGTGCATGTAATGACTGTAGCCGTTGCAGCATCCTAATGTAGATAGAGCCGCCCTGCAGAACGTGTACATAGGATCAGCTGAGAGTCATGGTGCAGCCGAGGAGGGAACAATTTACTGCGAAAATCGAATGAGAAATGTATAAACGGAATCTTCTCCCGACAAAGGCTTTACTTTCCTCGAAAACTCTACTGAAAAGTTGATCAGTCAAATAGCTGCCTTCAATGTCGATAGAGACTCGTCGATTTCACGGGACCGCGTTAAAACAATCCTCGACATGGAATTTAATTTCCGCGTTCGGAAGCACTTCCTCTTTGATTGTACTGTTACCCCCGGCCTATTCCGCCAGCGTTAATCCGCTGCGCATTACATCGTAACTGCAAACGTATCAGCTTGCCGCATATTACAATGGACAGGTGGAAAGAAATCCGGCGCTGTTTAATCTCACTTAAGAAAAAGCCGGTTAAGTATACAAAGGGAATCCAATTAGAGTCGAGCGAATTACAACTACACTAACCGGAGAGAAATCCTATATGTTTCGTATACGCGAGGACGGAATAATCCGCGCGCATAGCCGCGCACAGTCGAAGAACATGACGTCGCCGTGCGGCATGTCGAAATAGAAGGCCGGGGACGAAATAAAGGCGACATCAATTTCGCCCTGATTCGCCGGAATTATTAACGCGTTCAAATATAGGATGCCGCGCGCCTTAAGGATCAGCCGAGATCCACGGGGGTAATTATTAATGACCTAACGCGGTGTGAAGACGCGACCCGGCGACGTGGAAAAATTTACGTAGCCCTGGGGAGGACTTACGTGCAACTTTTATAGGAGCGAAAAATAATTCGTCAGTGAACTGTGTGCGTGTGCGTGTGTGTACATGTGTGTGTGTGTGTATGTGTAGCATCGTGTTACGAGTTCGGTCATATTTTTCGAGAAAACGAAATTCTGAGCGTGTGAGTGCGTGCGGCGAAAGATTTTTCGCAAGCGGAAAATTTGCTTATTATAAGCAAAACGAGCCATTTTCCCCGCTCCTCCCATTGAACCGTCAAACTAGAATATTGTTCAAGATGTATGACATATTTAAACATTTACATATTATTTTCTATTATATGTGTACTTTTAACTCAAATGACACGTAAATAAAGCATTAATATGAAAAACAAAAAAATAAATAATATCTCCGTGTTTATAATATTGTATGTATATTCCCCTTAATTTCGTTGAAAATTACCGTTTATTACTTAGATAATTAAATAAAGTTTTAGGAAAGTATTCTTTTTTCAGTCAAATAATAAACTTATGTAGAGACTCCTTAATATCGCCACTGAAAATCCGGCATTCTGCGATACACTGCTTTAAGATATTAATTAACGTTTATAAATACATGAATGATTAAGTGCGTTACATTATCCGGCATAGAACCGAATGTATGCGCTCGCGATACGCAATACCGTATGGAATTCGTTTGCGATTCATGCAAATATGTAGGAATTTAATTACGCATAAAATATCCCCTTTGTACGCTAAAGAGGCAAAAGTGCAACGTTATACGCACAAAGAGCAATTCAATTAACACTGATAAGCAATGATTCAACTGACGGTTTGATTACAAACAAAATATCGTTACAGTTACCGATCGTCAAATATTACTGTCTTCAAGTTTTCGTGAAATGTTCGCGCTAGAGAGCACGAGACATCGAATGTAGCGCGGAACTTTTTGCGGAGGAAGAGATACGCGTAGTCGCATAATGAAACAATGAGACGAAAAAAAGGAGGGAAAAGCGGAGAGAGATGGAGAGAAAGTTGATAAATATTGAAAAACGAGGTTATTCCGAGAAACACAAACTAGCTGCTCGACAAATACGTCTGCGTGGCATTTCCCATAAATTCTCGTGAAGATTTAAACGCTGCGAAAAGGCGGAAAATGCGCGGCAGCATCTTTCGGGGCTTGTAAGTTTACGTGAATTAATGCGGTCCAGTCTATCCTAATCTATGACGAAATCTCGTTAGTTCGTCCCGGCGAACGACTGAAATTCATGTCCACGTAGCGACGTTACGGAGACAAACGTGCGCGCAATTAAAAGCTCACGTGAACGATATAACAAGTGACGAAAGATCGGAGAAACGAGCGGAATAGTTTTCGCGGCGACGACGGCGAAGTACGGCCTGAATTAACGATATCAGGCTGATTCGAATTCGCGCGACGGGATTCAATTAATACGCCCCAACGATCAGCTGGAATTCATCACGAAGAAGAGGAAAGACGAAGAGGACGCAACACGCGTCCGTAATATTACGTACGTGCGTGATATTAAAATCCTATCGTGCCTGTCTTCTTTTTCTTCGCACGTAATATTTATATTTGCATATTGCATGTATAGTACGCGCAAAAACGCAGTTCTGTACGCGGACTCGTTGAACGACGTTCATTCTTTCCTCGACTCCTCCTTGGAAGGAAATGTTCTGTTCGCTTTGTAACTGCTCAAGTCTCCAAACGTCTCAGCGGCTAAACGTTGAATTAAGCTTCCGATGTTATCAGAAAATTTCATTCGAGATTGAGCGACGAACCCGAGGAAACGTCGCGTCCTTCGTGCGTACCTCAATTTGCCGCGGAGAAATGACGCGAAATGCCGCCGGGAGGAATCAGATCGCCTGTTCGTGTCGATGAAAAAGGTCTCATCTAAGCCGGGATTCAATTAATACAGCACGGTGATCGGCCGAAATCCGTCCCGAGAAATTGCCGGGGAGCCGACGTATCGCAAGGACGAACGCCCGAATGTCGGAGAGTTTGCAAGGTGTGTCCAATAAAAGTTTCCGGACTTCTCTCCGTGAGACATCGAAAATCTTCCAATGAAGGAATGCGCGGCTACATCGATCGTTACAGCCGACGTCAGGAGAGTCGGAGAAATTTTTATCGCTCTCGGCATGTACGCCTCTTCCGTCGCACTTCACGACTCGGCGATACATCGCCGACCCAATGACTCATCATTAACAGCCGCCTCTGTTGTGTTTCGAGACAAATAAACGCGTGAAATTACAGTGACCACATATTATAATGCATGTGCGTAATCAATAATTATCCAATACCGTCGATGTTTTAATCACTCCGAAAATATTTCGGGATGTGCGTGCGTTTCTCCTAAGAGGATTACGCATGTTATTTTACGTTTCATTATTATTGTAATTAATTCATACCGAAAGTTCCACTATTGCGTCGGGAAAATAGGATTAATTCGCGTTAATATTTTACTTGTTATTTAAAATTCGTTGCATTTATTTATTACCGGAACGCGAACACAGTATTTCGTTCCCGTCATCTGATTTACGGAAATTAATTTAGAATATAAAATAATTAAATAGCTTTCGCGACTTTTTACAACACACTTGCACATCAACGTGGATAACTTTTTATTCAAGTTACATTTATTCCCAATTATGCTTGCGTTTGTACGTGTTTCGGCTATTCACGTGAGTAAATACGAAAGATATTACCGTTCCCTCTGTGTGCCCTGTTTAGCTTTTCATAACATCGTATTTGATATCAACGCTGTCAATGCACCCTTTTTTGGAGGGGATTTTCATTTCAGACGCGAAAAATATTTAAAAAATCTAACTCGCGTGAGCGTAAAAAGAATGCTTTCAGACAAAAGTTCCCTTTTTCAGGACGAACGGCGGGCAGTACTCGCACGACGGCGCTCGTCCCGTCGCGACGCGTAGATTAAACAACGCGAATCAAAGCGAACTATTTCGTGTATTCCTAGGGATTGATTTAACGGCAAGGCGACAAATATTGTTTGACAATTGGTCGAATGTAATTCGAGCCCGGCGAAAATTGATTTCGAAACAATTGATTGGCATTCGTGCCAATATCAATCCACGCCCGTTGCGTCCTACCGCTGGTGTTCCCTCCGTTTCATTCATTCAGAGTCCCAGGACTCGTCGGACACGCCTGGCACTTCCGCGGAATAATTCACGCGCGGTGCGCACACGCTAAGGGACTAATTAATCTCGCCGGAGGCGTGCAGCGTCCGCGCTCTCGCGGGCGACCGTCATAAGGGTGCTTCGAAGGGAAAAAGGGGTAAAGGAAGGAAGGAAGAAAGAAACGAGAGAGAGAGAGAGAGAGATAGGAAGAAAGGGGAAGGAAGAAAAAAAGAGCAAATCCGGGATTCGCGCGAGTTAAGCGGATTTGGCCGATCGTTCGATGCCAAGGGCATGTTCAATTAGCGGGAACGTCGGGAATGGAATTGCCGTGAAAATTCCGCCGCGGGAAATCTCGGATGCTGCCGCGCGATAACGACGCCCCGCGCAGGGTAACCCCGTCCATCAAGCGGGCGCCGAAAATAACCTCCAGCCGAAGGAAGGGTGGAAACCACCACCCCTCGCCGTCAGGAGGATCCAGCCCGCGTCTACGATCCAAGGATCGGGAACCGATCAATAAGTACGGTTACGCGAGCGCAACTCGGATCCACCGTGGATCCGGTACGTGCGCGTCGCCTCGTCCTTCTGTGCGACGGGACTTACGTGTCGCGGCACGACGTCACTGGATCGGATCGCTGGATCGCGGCTCCGCGCGCCGCGTCGGGCGTCGCACGGTGTTGACATCGCGACGATTAATCCTGTCCGAGAGAGAAAGATAGATATAGATAGAGAGAGAGAGAGAGAGGGAGCCTCTATCTGTGTATCCACGTAACTGCGTCTTCCACCCCCGCGCACCCGTATCACTAGCCGTCCNCTTTAAATCCGACGGCCGATCGACGTGTCGATGACGTCTCGCGCGGAGAAAGCGAGAGAGATTGTCATTAAAACGCGGCTGACACGTTGTCCTCGTCGTCGTCGTCCTCGAGGCTGCGAGAAAAAGTGAGAAAGAAGCGTAGAGACGATGACACGCCGGGACAGTTACGAAGGAAGAAAAAACAACAGAAAGAAAGAACGAAGCGCGACGACGTGCGCGACCGAGACACGTCGGAGATTGACGCGCGATCGCCGGCCGACACAGCGCGGGTTCGACGCCGATCTCGTCGGGAATTGCACTGGCCGGTTCAGCCCTTTACTCCGTCGGAGGGGTGGCGGCGTGAGAGAGCGCGCCGTAGGGAAGGGATAAACGGGTGGGAGGGAAAGGAGCGAGGCAGGGCGCGGTGGGGACGACGGGCCTGGCGTGGGAGGATGGAGTAGAGCTGTGGGTTGAGCGAGGCCGGCAGGGGGGTAGGGGAGGATGAGGATATATACCTAGCAGCATCCACAGTGCTGAAAACCACCGTGGTACATTTCGCGGAGCTCCCACGAGGGACGAGGGAGAGCAGTGGCGGAATCCGAGACGGGGGAGGGGACACATGAGGGGGAGGGCGGAAAAGGTAAAAAAAAAAGGGGGGGAATAAGAAAAAAAGGAGAAGGGGGGACGAGGTGGAGCCGGTGGCCTCTAGGAAATTAAAACAAAAAGCATAGGGAAGCACATCGTGTCGCTGGAAACGGACTCGTATACACGCCAACGCGCGCTCGCTCCGTCTCTCTTTCTCTCGTCGTCACGCTACATCCGTCCCTCTTCCGTCGCCGGTCGCATCGGTTTCCCTTCTCCGTTGGGCGGAGTCACTTTTATTTCCCTTTATCGTTTATTACGAGTGGTACGTTGCCCGCCGACACGCTCGTCGTCGAAAAAGGCGCGCAAGAAGGTGTCGACGCGTTTTTTTCCCCTCCTCTCATCCCCCGGACTTTTCTTTTCGACTTCCTCCCCCGAAGATTCCGCTCTTTCCGCGTCGCTGCTGGGAATAAGTCGAAAATTCAGGTGGGGGTGCTCGTGAGTGGGCGATAGGGTGGGCCCGGGGGAGAGCGACAGATCGATAGCGTTAGTCGATACGTCGGTTACGTTACCCTCGTTCGATGTCGTTGTCCTGTGTGCACGGTAACTCTCTTATTGTACTCCTCCTTTTCTCTATTTTATTCGTCGAATCGCGGTGTATATCTTTCCGATACATATACGCGAGTGCAATCGATGCTAAAGTATTACACACAGTTTTCAATCTATTTCCGACGTGCTCAGATACGTCCGCGAAACTCCGATGAATGCGGCGTGTAAATCGCTAAAAAATACTTATGACGGCTGAACGACCACGGCACGGAGTTTGGCGCGATAGGAAAAGCACATCTATATCGCGAAGACGTATTTCTCGCCGTCGTCGTTTCTCATCCGTTTCTTATGATCGATTAATTACGCGTTTCGTAACAAAGCGGGAAGTTGCGCGGACGATTTCTTTTCTTTTCCCCCGTAATATCGCATTTTACTTTCACGAGAAAGTATCTTCCAACTTCTATGCGCGCGTGTCGTTCCGATATTAAATGATTATTAAATTACCACGGTTTACCGTGCGGCATCGTGTTTCGTAAACTCGGATCGAAAGATACGTCGAGATTTTACAAATTATTGCGAAAATCACGAATGCAAGAGTTACGGCGCGCAATGGCGCGTGAAAATGGAGATGCAACGCGTGTATTGCGACACATTGCATGAAATGTACGTCAAAATATCGCGATATTAAAGATATCGCATTATTAAACACAACATGTAACGTTACCCGCCTTTACTCTGCACATCACTGTCGTAATGTCGCAGCTGCGAACAAACTTTACTGAGAGAAAACTGTTCGGTGTTTGCAACTATAATTGCATAAACGAGAGAATTATAGTCTAGAAAACCATTTTTTAGGCGCTGCTATAGTGTCAGTGATAATAGCCTTACATGCATATTGCTGCTACCATTTTCCAGGTTAAAGCCGGAAGAAGAAGACACATTTGATACTAAAAATGATTACAATTTTAGTGGGATTTCCCTCAGTAAGCGTGTTACCGCGCGCAAAACTGTCGCGATACGTCGTAAATGTCTAAATTTGAGCATTACATCAAACTTTTAATTGTGCTACACAGTGGGAGCTAAGATAATACGATCAATTTAATTTTACTGATTTACTCATATTCTTTGACCCTGATGATGTATTAAGTTTCCATTTTAACAGTCTTATCAAAATAGGTTGTCCGAGGCAACATGAAAATTAAATCTGTAGAATTAAATATATATATATACACACAAGAGAGAAGTCAATAAGTGTCAGTATCGTCAAAATAGGTTTCTATTAGTCTACCTAAATAGATGCAAACTATCCTTAAAAACGTCAAAATAGCATCACAATTTCTACTTCCGGGTCGCGACTTCGGCGTGTACGCGTTGCTTCATCTGCGTCAGTCCGCTGCCTCTCCTCGCTTTATTCACGTTCACACTTTATCTATAAACACACTTTCTTCCCATTGTCTCGCCGACAAACTTCCCAACCGGGAGAAGTTCAAGGTGGGAAATTCGTTCGCTCGAACGAAACTGTCTTTACTCATACGTCGGAGAATTTTCCCGCGCGCGCGCTTCATATTGCGGAGAAGGAATTTAGCGCGCGCGCGCGCAAGATAAATCGAGTTTGGAACGTGAGTAGGCGAATGGGCGAGCGGTACAGGATCTTATTGCGGATAAGTACGTGGTATGTGTGTGTATGTGTGTGTGGAGGGTGCTTAGTGGACAAGCGCAATTTATCCGCTATTTCTCACGAGATTTATCCGCCCATTCTTTAATCCCGATTCGTCCTCGTCGCGCGAAACTTCCAATTTTTTCCTCCTCCCTGCCTTCCTCCCTCGCTCCTCTTTTTTTTTTGTCGGGACCGGCTCGAAACTATTTTTTCCCCCGTCACCCTTTGTGCCAGGCAGGAAGTTCTCGTCGGCGTGCGCGGGCGCGCGCGCTTCCGCGATAAATCGAACCGGCGGGCGGGAGTGAGAGGGACGCGGAGAGAAAGCGAGAGGCTGACTCACCTTATTGCAGACGTATAAACGCCGGGAACGTGCGCGACTTTTTCGCCATTTCTCGCGAGAGAGACTTTTCTATCGTCTACCTTTAATTCTTCCGCCGACTGCCGGCTGGGGAGGCGGGATAGAATCGAATCGGGAACCGGCGCATCCGAACTAACCAGGCGGATTTTTATCGCGCGCCGCGCGCGCTTCAACGAAGATGTGCGTGCCGTCAGCCGAGCTTAATCCATTCATGCGTGTCCTCCTCGGTCGGCGGTATCGCTCGACGGCTTCGCGAACGGCGCGGCGAAATATCTCTCTCGCATTCGCGCATTTCTTCCTCAGCCTCGCGAGTTAAATTCAACAATATCGCGTTTGTCCAAGTCCCCCGAGACGTCGTGTCGCGAGAAATCCCGGAGCGACCGATCTCAGAACCGATCAGCCGCGCGGCATGTGAGTTTAATATACAACGCGAATGGAAGAAGAATCTCCGCCATATTCTATCGAACTTTCCTAATATCCGAGCAGCCGCGAGCCGTTTCTGTTGGAACTATTTCGGAGCTTTTCGGCGTTTCGTTTCAAGGGCGGAAATTTTAGCGAGCCGATTAATCGGGAAGAGTTCCATTTCTTTCGAAATTTCTCCAAATTTCTCGAAGAAAGACTCATGTATATATGTGTGTGTGTGTGTGTGTGTGTGGCCGAGATGAGAGGCGGTCACGACGATAGGCGAGTGCGGAACAATTCCCAGCATCCTCCTTTTATCGGTCCATCCACCTCTCGCTTTAATTCCACGGTGGCGCGCGTCCCGCGCTCCCCGAGATGAGAATCTTTTATTTACACACGTCGCGCTATCCGTTAACTTTTTATTTTCACATCGGCCGCGCTTCCTCCCTCGCCCCCGTCATATCCTCCTCCTCCTCGCGGGGGATTTCGCGCGCAAGATAAGGGCGGTTTGCCAGCCGGCTTACGCGCGAGGTGGGGAAGGGTGCACTCTTATTGCGGATAGGTGGGTGCTTAGTGGACGGGCGCGATTTATCCGTTCTTTCCGCCAAGATTTATCCGCCCTTTCTTTAACATCCCTCCCCCCGCCCGTACCCCCGTTCCTCGCCGGGCTCCCCCGCCCATCGTCGGAGGCCCGGCAATACGTCTGGTACGATAAGTGAGTACTCGCGCTCTCCGATCGTAATAAGTTTCCGCAACTCCGGCGAGGCAAGTCGAGCGAAACTTCCGCCTACGTGTATCTTATTAACATTTCCGGCTTGCGTTTTTTCCGTTCTTTCATCTCGCAGTCCGAAGAGATAGGCCGTCCCGCGAAGAGGGGATGACGCGCGCACGAGATCTCTCCTCGCGATCGTCCTCCCGGCGGGATGCTTTAAATTTTCGCCAAATTACCGGACCGTGTTTCACGTCACATACGAGCGGCCGACCGCTCGTTCACCCCCCCGAGTATAGGGGTGGAGGGCAGGGACGCGAGGATCTCTGCCAGATCATCCGAAAGTTTCGTAAGCGCGGCCAATCAGCTATGGAAAAATCCATATCTCTCAAATCTCACGCGGCGAGATCTCTCTCTCTCTCTCTCTCTCTCTTTTTCTCTCTCAGGGGAATTATTAAAGATTCTTGCCGAAGATCCTCGAGCTTTCTCGAGACAACATCTTAAACGAGAGTTCACTTCTACGTGTTTCTGCAAGTTAAAATGAGCGTTTTCTCTCTCTCTCTCTCTCTCTCTCTCTCTCTCTCTCTCTCTCTCTCCCTTCTTTAAGCAATATTCTCTTGGGGAACTTCGCAAAAAGTAGTGATCTTTAATCCGAACTTTGTTGACGACAGTTGATTTCCTCCCTTGTGCATCCGCTCACGGGGACAATACGAAAGGTACGAGAATC